AATTTTAAATGGAAAAGTGAGATGGGTGTGAGGGTATTATCGGAATAAGAAAGGAATGTTTAAGATATTGTCCAGCAACGCATAGCAATGCATTAGCGAATCCTCAAGGCACGACCAAGCTCGCAGTCCATCCTGTAGTCACGCATAACCAATCGCGTGACCCCGCAATCCCACGGCTTGGATCGCGTCAATCCCGCAATCAATCCCAGCGTCAGTCGATTGCAATTGATTTGGCCAAAGAAGCACACCACTGGAAGAAAGATGACTACCTTTGCAGCGAGCAAGCCCCTTCGTCGTCATTACTTCCGATCAAACATACGAATGGTGAAGTGTGATTTCGGATCCGACAAGAAGGAACGTCGTCGAAGGAGGCAAAGAAGTTATTTAGCTACTCGTTCAAAACTCTACCCGACACGTGAAGGAGGAGAAATAGAAGAGTGACGAAAATATATTACGAGCAAGCCCCGTCGTTGTCGTTACTTCTGATCAAACAGACGAATGGTGAAGTGTGATTTCGGATCCGACAGGAAAGAACATCGTCGAAGGAGGCAAAAAAGTTATTTAGCTGCTCGTTCAAAACTCTACCCACACGTGGAGGAGAAATCGAAGAGCGACGAACAATGGAGAAATGAAAAGCAAACCAAGCAAATCTGCCAAATCAAGACATCCAATGAAATATGAAAATAAATTAGTAAGATAATTAGTAAAAAGAAATTCATCAAGAAAAAGGAAAAATATAAATATAGCTTAGGAATAAATTGATTTAATTTTAATTAATTAAAAATATAATATAATTAATAAAAATTAATAATTATAAAAATAATAAAATTATAATATGAGAACTTTTGTAAATGCCATAGTATGAAGAACTAAAATTTTTGAAATTATTAAAACTAAAATTATTTATAATTTTTTATTAAAGAAAAGTTTAAGAAAATTTTTTGCAAAAATTATAATCCCTAAAAATTATATTTATTAAGTATTTTAATTAAAAAATACCAAATTACCCTCATACTTAACGCCATCAACTCTACCATTTGATGGCAGGACCAAAAAAGTCCTATTTTGGAGAAGCTGAGGGACCAAATTGGTCCCTCACAAAAAGTTGAGTGATCATTTTGGTCATTTTCTCCTTTAAGAAATACTAACTTTTGAATTTCCTAATAAGAGAGTTTTGTTGCATAAAGTTGAAATCAATTCTCCGGAGTTGCCCAAACATAATCTAAAAACTTCATAATGCAATCACCAACCACTGCAATCAATATTCAACATGTAAATATTAGGAATCATGTAAATGCTTTTGCCATTTAGCTAAATAAATTTAAAAACTTATCCTAGATAAGGAAAGCAGCTTTATGAAACAATAATTACTATCTTATATTCTTTAAGTGCTTTATTTGCAGGAGAATATTTGCATCATTTCACTGTATTAATCAATCAAACTCACATGCATATGTGGAAATGTTCTTAAAGCACTTAAAAGCCTAATTTTCACCCAATGGTAGCATCATCATTGTCATTAGCTTTATCCACACAATATAAGGCCGGCTTTATGAATCATTATTTTTCATTTGTTTCAACAATTTTATCCATATAAGGTTTTAACCATATTTGACACATCTTTTAGAACAATTCTATCCATGTTATCTTAGGAAAAATAATTTTATCTACCTGCCTACTAGATGAATTTCTACCCTTATTGTACAAGTTCAAACTAAGCAAGTCTACTTACCACCATCTTATCTTCCATAGATGCTACCCCCACTACACTAATATAACCATTATTCAATTATCCTTTCTAATTTAGTCACACATATTAAAATTCCTATTTTCTTCATGCTCAACTTGACTTCTTTATTGCCCAATAATAAAATTCATACAACATATTTGGCTTAATTGCAATATAAAGATATTCTTCAAATATCAAGTATATTCTTTTATTATATAATGCTTCTAAGTTAGTTATCAAGCTTGATCACTCATACTTAACTCCATAAGTTATATATTCGTTCTTTTATATAATAGATCCAAAGAACATAAACTTATCACACTTAGGAATCACTTTATCTTAGGGTAATTACACTTTATCCCATCACCATATCATAATGCATACACAACTCCCATGTGATTTAATAATAAGAGCTTAAACTCATATGCTTTGAGCTAAAGCATCCAAGATATCTTTAACATTCAATTTGACGGTTTTGGATAAAAAACATTTTTTTCATGTATTAAATGTGTAATAGGATATAAGCTACCCTATCTCCTGCCTTGTTGGAATCAATTGTTCATGCCCTCCTTTCACCTCTCCAATACCCACAACTAGGATATCATCATCAAGTTCCTCTTCCTCAGCCTCTCTATGATGCCCTATCATCTTTGATCTCTTTTTTCCTCTGTACTCTAACAGTCTCTTCTCCATTTATATCTTGATACTGAAAAAAAAAACTTATATGCATCTTATCTTCTTCCCCATCTTCATAAAATAATAATTGCACAAGGAAAGTAGCTCAAAATCCCCAGTAAGCATCCAATTATTTTGTCTTCTATGAGTAAAGGCATACAATTGTTTGTGAGCATGAGAGGAGTCAATGCATTGTGTTTATGTAATAGTTTATTGCTGTCAATGGTTAGTTACCTTTGCTGGACGCTGAGGTTGTAACCTCCTTCATATAGGTAGAAGAGGCAAAATTTATTGAGTTTTGGAATGAAATATGAAAAAAGAGGAAAGAAAGCTCACCATGGAATCATTTATGGTGAGAATACCAGCTCTTTTCATCTTGAACAGAAAAAATAACCATGCTACTCTAGTCAAAAGCACATATTATTACATGGGGCTTTTGCGTATAACAATATAGTGATTGGGTAAAATGTAATTACCATTTTATGTTATAATAATAGAATTGATTGATACTTGTTAATCTTATACTCACTAAAACTGCATATTATATGCACAATTATTGTGTTAACAATATTAAGCACTTAAAATTTTAAATATTTTCTCATTTCTTCTAAATTTTCACTTTTTTAATAGAAATCTCACCAATTAGAATTAGGCCATTTGTAAAAAGTATACTACAACTCCCCACTTCGAATATCTTTGATAAATATTTACATAACCAACATTAAAAGACAACACTTAATATTGATTTTTTATGCAATACTATTAAAATTGAAACCTCCTTGGTACTTCAAAGTATTTTTGTTAAAATCAACGAGCACATATATTTAATAACTCCAATATGACCTTGATATATATATATATATATATATATATATGAATCATATGAATATTCATTTTCTACCCTGTATATGTTTTCCTTAATTGTTTAGGCGCGTAAATCAAATCCCATGATACTCTATCATTTGTCACTCTTACCTCAGTAGGCTAACATGTAACACCAACAATGAAGTGTCCTTTTACCTTAAAATACAGTGCGCCTATTTCTAATGCCTCTCTCTAAACCTCTTATCCTTAAATATCACTTGCATGCACACTTTCCATTGTAAATTCAATATGTCAACAATAACATTAAAAAAGGGAGGATATTGCATCTTAGGAGACTTGCTAGAGAAAAAACAAAGATACAAATCACAACAATAAATGTGCACATAGAATGTTGTTGATGAAGGGAGTCCCTCAAAAATCTTATTTCTATAGATTGGGTTAACATATACTAGTAAATTGTTTTTTTATGTAAACATTCTGCAAATATTGAAATGATTCTATCAAGACAGGTCTCATATCATCTCCCTTCAATTTGACACTGAATTTCTGCCTTAAAAGCCAACAAGATCAGCAATAGTTAAAAAGGATAACAGATGGGAGTAGAAGGAATGCTGGGGAAAAGAAAGATCCTAAAGCACAAATAGTTACCGTAATATTTTATGGTTAGCTAAACAGTACTTAGAAGAAATTCACACTGGACTGGAGATATAGTTTAAACAATAATGATGGTAAAAATTTGATGATCTTCAGAATGATGAGAGTAACCACGGATTTTCCAATTATTAAGGGAAAAAGTAAAGAATATAAACAAATTTATTCAACAATAGTATGATTGATGAATCATGATCCATAATTGAATTAGGTCTGAAACAAAATGCAAGAAGAGAGTTGGCCAAGTGAATCAATCAGTAAAGGGGTATGGAAGGTAAGAAACATAAAAGAATCAAAGAACAATAATTAAAAAAAACTTTTATGGCCTGAATGGTTGTTAAAAAAAAGATGAACATGGTGCTAGATTAAAGATCATACATTCCTAAAAATATCCACCACACTACCACCATAAAAAAAAATGAACTACATAAGAGACGTCAACAGACAATATGCGCCTCAATTTCCACATCATTCACTTGACTAATAACAGGGACATAGATGGCGATGGAAATTATAATATTAAGCCTGTCAGAAATAGCTAACAAGTTTTTAAGAGATTTTATGGATGATATTTATCACCAACCATGATATCCTCACAACAACGTTAATTTTCATAGCATATAATTGATGCACACAAGAACAAACTCTTATGAGAAAGTAAAGAGCATATAGAATCATTGAATAAGAGCAAGGAGATGTTAGGTTTAATAAATGCCAACCTACGAACTCAGACGAGGTAAAGTGCCACGCTTGTGGCTTGCCTCATCTAAGTGCCCAAGTAGCCACGTCCAAAACTATGTTTAACATGCAAAAATAAATGAAACCAATGCCAATCTAAGATGTACACAATGCTAAACAATATAAAATAAAAAAATTGCAAATCAAATAGAAAATTTAGGCTGCAATAAAAGAATGCACTCAATTTAAAACCAATATGTGAGTTTCCTGCACAACTAATGGAAAGTAAAGCAATAGAAAAGTTGGTGTTCACAGCAACAACAATTGATGAATATAGTGCGAATACATAATGCATCTCAAGGTAACAATAAGTCGATAAATAAAATCACAATTTTGGTAGCAATATAAAACCCAAATAAAATAAATATTCTATTTTCCTCACCTTGGGCAGGCTTATATATCTCTTTTAGGGAGTTATTAATGGTAGATTTCTGTCCTTTGTTTTGATTGGCCTTTTGCATACGTTTTGCAAGTGCTACCTTCAAACTTACCTGCCCAACAAAAAATAGCTTTAAGCAATTGAAAATGGACAAATAATTTTCAAATAATTGAACATTTATTAATAAACCAAACAACCTTTGAGCCATTGTCAAGCAATTCATCGCTACTAAAAGATTCAACGCACGAAAGAGCAGCTTCTCGAGTTTTGTAGTTGATGAATGCAATATCTCTTCGCTTAGTTGACTTAATGTTCCTCCCAAGCACAATTCGTTCAATCTCCCCAAACTTTTTGAAGGTCTCCTTAAGCCTATCTTCATCCCATGAATCTGGGGCTCCTTCAACATATACTGATTTTACCTATAAGGAGATAAGTACAAAAATCACTATGAGAGATATGTTATAATAAATAATATTATGATTTTAAGTTTTATCCAAAAAATCCTTTATACTGATTTTCATATAGACCAATAAAAAACCAGCAGAAATGTCACATTTTATTTTAGTTTCGGCCAACTTCAATAGATTTGGACCAAACTTATTGAAACTAAGACAAAAACTATTCATCATGCCGATGTTCAACTGAAACTTAGCCATAACAACCAAAACTCATCAACCAATCAAAATGGAGAGAGATACATTTTAGCTTCGCGAGCATTTTTTATCAACTCAGCCGATCAAAAGCTAATGAAGCTTGAGTTTAAATGTGGATTATTTTATGAAGTATAGCATACCTCATTTGAAAAAAAATTATTTAATATTTACTAAAAAATGTTTGAAAAAATGTTTGAAACCAAACATTGAAAGAGTAGAAACTACCAAAACCAACAAAACCAATTTCTTATGTAGGCAAAACTAAAGCAAGTCTAATATAACAATACAATCCAACAGTATGAACAGAAAAAATCTTATTAACCACATAATAACAAGATAATCATAAAATTAATTAAATACATGATTAGTCTGCTTTAATTTCCTTAATAAACTACTTCATCAACTTTTGATTGGTTATAGTTTTAAATTCATCAAATTGGATTTTAGAGGCATGCCCAAAAAAGTCCATCCACACAAGAACACTAATGCTCAATAGAACAGGCATGTAAATATATGCAAGACTTATAAAATAGCAGGAAAAGAGGATGCAAGAAAGGATTTATGAGTAGAGTCATTGAGACCTTTTGCATATCCTCTTCATCAGGAATACGGAAGGAATCAGCCCATGAAACTTTGATATTCCGACCCTTGCCAAGAGCATCTTTCATCTGAAGCTTTTTGAAAGCTCGCTGTGCATCTCTATTAGTTTCAAGTTCTAGAAATGCAAACCCACGATTACAGTCAGTATTTTTAGGGTCCATGACAACATTAACTGCATCGATATTCTCAATTCCACCTTCCTTCAAAATATTAGAAAGCTGCACACCAAAGTACAAAAAATAGTACATTAGCTAAGAGAATCAAATTTTAAAGAAGCCAAATTGCCAATACATAGTTCAGATGCTAAAATAATGAATTCCAGTAAAAAAAAAAAAGAAGTTAACTTACATCTTCTTTCTTCCATTTCTTGTCAATATTACCAAGAAATATCGTGTCATTCCCCTGAACAGCTGCAGCTCCACAGATCTTTCCACGGATCTAGAAGTGTCATTGAATAACTAAAATGTGTAAATATGTTGCAAGTTTAGAAAAAAAGCATGAGATTTTACTTCAACGATGGCAGACCATTTTACAATGAAATTCAAAGTGATAATTAGCCATCCAAAAGAAACGAATAAAAAAGCAGTGCAAAAACAATGAACAATGAATAATGCATATTAAAAAGGGGAAATGCAACGAACAATAGAGTCAGTTTTACCACAAAGATGAAGAAAGTAATGCATATTAAAAGGTAAGATCCGGAGCAGAACTAACTGCACAAACACATATGTTAGGTTACTCATCCTTTTTTTTTAACATTCATGTGTTAATAAAAAATGAAATGGAAATGGAGATACTTGGTTGGAAGTTTTCAAAAGGCATCATATGCAAAAAAAAATTAGAAAGAATGCATTTTAGAAATGCACAAGTTATTTAGTCGAATGTGAATCAAATGCCTTCAAATGTTTTTCTTTTTTTTCTTTTTTTTTTTTTGTTAGAATGCATTTCAAATGTGCATAAAACTGGCATGTCAGGGTAGACTATGAGTGCAAGTCATGCAACTGGCGCGAGTCAGAGCAAGCATAGCAAGGGAGGTGAAGGTAACAAGAACGGGCAACCAAAGAGATGAGGCCAAGCATAGTGAGGGCGGGTGTGGGAGATGGATCGACAATAGCTCATAGGGGAAGGGGGATTTGGAAATGGCCTAATCATTCATTTTAAGTGAAATGAAATAAAGTAGTTTGGATACTGTGAGATCTCAAAACTTTACTTTTATTTCCTTTACTTTAAAACAAACACCAAAAAAATAAATGGAGGAGATGGATGCAATACATCCTAATGCTTTCCGCCTAATAACTATTAAAGTACTCACTGCAAGTTAAGTTTTACAGCATTATATCCATCCAAAACAAGCATAGTTCATAGCAAGAAGATCTAACTAAGCGCAATATACAAAAATTTTAATGATGGGTTGAAAAGCAAGTAGAGTGAACTATACATTTTTCAGAAGGCGTTTCATTTCCATTACTAATTACAAATTAAATGTATCGAATTAATTCAAAGGTAAAATATAATTAGCTAATGGTATTAGTTAAGTAATCTAAGGCTCTAAGAAACACAAAAATCATTTAGACCGTTAAAATTAACAAACTCAGCAGTGAAAAAAACTGCATACCTCAACTTGGCAAAACTCAGCCACGCTCTCTTTGCCTGACTGGGTTCCACATACCTCAAGAAAGCATAACCCTTATTCTTCCCCGTTTGTCCATCCCATTCATATGCGGAGCTCCAAAATTCCCCAATCTCTTTCAAAACACTCCTTATATCTTCCTCCTTCGCATCCCTATCCAAACCCCCTATAAATATCTCTGCCTTCCGCTCTTCATTCTCTCTGACAAGCCCATCACCTCCTGCTCCACCACTGCAGCCTCCAACCCATCAGCCCTCTTCCCACTCTCCAAATTGTCATCTTTCAACTCCATCTCCCACTTCTTTTAATCTTCCAAATATATCTCAGATTTTGCCTGACTCAAGCTTGTTATCTTCCTCCATCTTCACCCTCCGGTTGCTGATTATCATCAGGGTTAAATGTCATCACCGGTGCATCCTGTTGAATAGTACTAGGCAGGGCAGAATTAGGTTAAGGTACTTCTCAGTGTTCTCCCTAAAGACACTATGCCGTCTTGCAGAGGCTCAGCATCCACTTTCTTTGCTGCTAATGAGCCCTTAGGACCAACTTTTTCACAATTTTTTCCTCACTATTCCTTGTCTTCAAAACGTCATCTTTAGCCTCCATTGCAGACATTTTTCCTTAATCTCCACTTGTCCTCAGCCTCGGGTACAGGGTTCACAGGCTCCAGTTTGCTGGAAAGCATCAGGTTTAAATGGCCTCCTTCGTTGCATCCTGTTGTATGCTACTATCCTCAAAACAAGAATTAGGGTTAAGGTCTTTCTCACTAGTCCTTCTCGTGAGACGCTAAGTCATCTAGCTCTGGCAAGTCATTCCACTTTCTTGGCTGCTACAGAACCCTTCGGAACTACTACTTCTTCACAATTTTCTTCCTCATACCTTTTCTAGCGTCGCAAGCCGTCTTCGTGCTAGGCTTCTCGATAGGTTCAGCTGTGTTGTCTCAGCCGTATTCACTCCAGGG